GAGGAGGGAGTCGAGGCGGTCGCGAACCGGCTGCCAAACAAGCAAAGAAGAGGTTAGCGACGATGGACTTCAAAGCAACCACGAGGGCAGTGGATATCACTCACAAGGCGGTGACTGAAATGATTGTGGAGGTGAGGCGTAATTCGGCGCCCTGGTGGGCGAGCGTCGCGACTGATTCGGGCCGGGCGGGAATGCGTACGAGTTATGTTTCCCGGGACTGGCATTATACGAAGACATGGGCGACGACAAGACGTTCCCGGGGGAGTATCTGCGAGCGGCCGAAGACTCTTCATGGGAGAAGTACTGAGAGGACGGCCGGCTGTGGTGGGCAGGCCGTGCAGTGTACTTGGCCCGGTTATACGGATCGGCGTCCTCCATGGTGGTATCCGCATCGGTGACATAATCTCGACTACGTGGCGTAGCAGCGGGAGACGAGGCCATCGAGACGGTCTTGGAGTTCGTCACGGTCGATGAAGGTTTCCCAGAGCCGGCAGGGGATTGGAAGGGCTCGTAGGAGTATCCGACCGGGGGCTGCGAGTGCTGTGGCTGGCCGCCGTATTTTGAGGCTAGGTGCTGTTGTGGATTCGACGTCAGGCCGTTGTTGAACTGCGCCGAATGGCCCAGTAAGGGATCCTGGTAAGGCTGCCACTGGGAATCCATGATTACTCTTCACGCTGGTTTAGCGACGCCACTTCAGTAGCAAAGATAGATCAAATCGGGAATTTGATGATCATCTATCTCTGTCGACAGCGCACATGCACCACGATCGGAGCGTTAGATAGCAGGCGGGGACGGCCGACGCACGTAGCGCAATCAGGCGGAGACGACGCGGCACACCAGCAAGTCAAGTAGGTATGTGGTATATAACTTAGGTCTCCAAACGAGGCAAATGAAGGAATTGAGGGAGTAGATCTAGGCAGCGCTGGAGGTCATGCTCCGAATGACCGGTTGTGTTGTTGAGTTGGTTGGTTGGTTGAAGAAGACAAGAGCGACGAGGTGTGTCCGTACGGAGGTTGGGCGGTCGCAATACACAATGACGGACGGGGGGGGGAGGGGGGGAAGGAGTGGGTGCGACGCAACAACCAGTATCGATGCGGCAGCTGACACACGCGAAGGGGGTTGGGGGAGAAGAGATGGGCAAGAAGGGACTGACTGGAGTCCCGGTTAGGACAGGAATCCAGGCAGAAATGCGCACAGTCTCAGAATGACTGGGAGGGAACTGGAAATAAATCCAGCTGGAGAGGATTGTGGAGGAGGGGAAGAGAGGGAAGAAGAAGAGGGAAGGAGAGAAGAGTAGCTGAGGGAAAGAGGAGGAGGAGTTCGGGAAGGTTGGCTGTGGTGGAGGTGGAGATACTGGCTGGGCTGTCTGTACTGTACGTAGTACCTTAGTACTTGAGTGCGAGTGCAGGTGCAAGTCACTGTCTGTCTGTCACTCTGCCTGGCTCTGGTTAGTCTGGGAGGGGGGGGAAACCCGATGAGGGCCTCAGGCTCTTCTCCCTTCTCCTCCCGCACTTGGATGGTTCCGGGCAAGGGCAACCAACAACCCACAGACCCAATTCAAATCTTCTGATCTCACGACTCAAAAGGTGTGTTCGCCTCTCCCAGAATACTGTTGGGCAATGACGAACTCGATCGGGGAGAGAGCTTGGAGTGCAGTGCCTGTCAAAAAGTGTCGATCGGGTGGCAGCAAATGGAAGGGCACCACGAAGGCGCAGACCACGCAAGAAGAAGGTTTGGTTTAGTTCTATTGTGAATAATAGGCAGAGAGACCTGTCTGTATATCTTCTGCTTCTGTGGGGTCAAGGGTCAAGAGGGGGGAACAAGACGATTGTGGCTCTATTCACCGGAAGGCCGCCATTGAGCCCTTTAACTATTGAAGACAATACTACCCGGATAGAATTGAGTAGCTACCTATCCTAGAGTCACAACATCGTTATATAATGCCCATCAATCAGTCTGGCCTGCCTGCTCAACCAGCCCCCGTCGACGATCTGCCTCCATTGGGAAGTTTGCATCCAGCCCCTTGAGCGATGGCGTTTGTAGTTGGGCTGCTAGGAAGGGCCTCGAAGGAAGACCATACACATTGAGTGTTGAGTGATAATGAAAAAGCCCTGATGGTTTTTGTGTAGCTCTCTCTTTCATATTATAGCCCCAAGCACGGTCCCTGGACCCAAGGACCGATCGAAGGAATGGAGGCATATACTAAATAGATGCAGTATCATGCCTAAACAGTAAGTAACGTTATCCTCAATTGACCCCTCTCCAAAACTTGACACCTGACAGGACAATATCCACGACCACCACCACGACCACCACCATCAATGCATCCGGTGGACCATGTCATCTTCGCATACTCCATAGTTTAATGAGGCGAACACACGGGCCAGAGCCCACTTCTGTGACGTGGGAGGCTACGTAGGGTGTGACTAACAGTATCCTCCCAGGCGGTGTAAAGGACGGTGTACAGGAAGTTCCTCTTTCTGCCAGATGTATCACTGTGGCTGGAGCACGTGGCTGGCCCGTCTTACTCAGCAGGTCTCCATCCTCTCTCGGCGGCCGCCGCGGTCTCTTACACGCACCGATTGTGCAGCTATTTCATCTGATAGCAAGACAACTGCTTTATTTATAGCTGGGCGCTCATCTGACTGGTTTCGCGAAAGCGCAGCTGAGTCTGAAGTGACTGTGCGCGCTTGCAACAAGCTTGTATGCAAATTTATAGCACATTCTTCATTGACCGCAGCCTATATCAATAACCATCGGGCCATCTCTCATTTAAACTGCGCTCATTTAGGTGTTAATCTCCTGAAAGAAGCGCACCCTATTGAGGCGCCATATTGTGTTCTTAACTACCCTCATCGAAATATTGCCACGCGCACTTCACTCCTCCACAGGGAAAATGGCCGGAGCGTCTAAACCCGGCCCCAACCCGCCTCGAATGCCCATCGTGGTGCCGGAAATGACCGCCGCCCCCTCGCAGGACGTGAAGATGTCCACAGCGAACATCAGCGAGTCCAGCGTAGCCACCCCTGGCAGTGACGTCTGGGACACCGAGATGCAGCTTGTGTCATCGCTCGCGAAGCTCCAGCAATTGGAGGGAATGGTAAGAGCAGCAAAAAAAGCCCAATCCCTTTTTCCCTTTTTTTGTGTTTGGCTGAGAACCGCTCCACTAACAACCGAAACAGATCCATCAATTGCGCACACTGCTTCCAGGAAGGTTACTGGAACCCCTGATAACGGCCGCCAACCCGGGCATAGCGGCCGGGGGCCGGCAGCAGGGCGTATCGTCATCAACATCACCATCCCCGCGGGCGGTGTTTGAGCAGCTCAAGCAATGCGTCCATAGCGGGGTGCGGGAGGTTGCGGAGTTCCAGACGCTGTGGCGGAGTCCGGAGATGAAGAGCGTCTGGGATCGGGTCGACGCCCAGATCCGGGGGAATGGAGGCCAGCTGCTGCAGCCGACGGGGATGTGGGAGGAGGACTACGATGTGCTGCTGGAGGGGCTCGTCCGGGAGGAGCAAGGGAAGCAGGCGGAGCGGCGGAGCGTCGAGGAGGAGGCGGAGCGGTCGAAGATCCAGGCCACGGAGGGCGGCTGGCGGGCGATCGTGGAGGGGTTTGCCCAGCGGAACGTGCCCGGGGTGCGGGTGCAGGTGCAGACGAGTAAGACCGAGGAGGCGGCAGTGCTGGTAGCGCTGGTGAAGGCGGGGATGGTCTTCCAGGTTCACACCGTTGAAGGGCTGGAGAGCCACGGGGTGCCGGAATGGCGGATCGCCAGTAAGGCGGCGCCTGGACAGCCCGTCACCAAGCTCGAGGGGGCGGTCATGCAGTGCTTGAACTCGCGTCCCCGGCAGTGGGACCTGCTCCAATTGCTGGTGAGTTCTCTCCCTCGAACATCTCCAGTACATACCTAACGCAGCAACAGGAGATGATATCATCGTACTCCGACATCAAACAAACGCCGTGCCTGAAATGCAACAAGCTGACCGACACCGCGGCCCAGTTACCCGCCGTTCGCAGGCCGAAACTCGTCCCATCCGCGGACGGCCAGCAGTCCACGACCGTCTGGGAAGCCTATCATCCCAGCTGTATCGCCGAGTGAAAGCGACAAGCAGAGACGGCCATCAAATAGTCTTCAGCATCTTCATCAGCCCCACAACGACAAACATTTCTAAATCCTTGCACATCAATTCGATACCACTCATCAACTTGTCCACATCCAGTAGCGCTTACCATCACCCCACCTCAAGAAGCCCTCCATCCCAGTCTCAGGATCCAACCCCAACTCCCAAACACAGACAATCAGCCCTTCAAACCGCCGACCTCACGACAAACCACGACCTCAAGCAATCCAAACCTCCCTAACCCCCCACCGCATATCGTCACCTAGACCCGGAAATCCACAAAACCCCCTCAACAAGAAACACAAGCAGAACAAAACCACTGCGCAACCAAGCGAGCCATCACACCAAGCTACCCATCACCAACCAACCAAACCCACATCACCAACCTCAAATGAAAGCCTCAAACCCAGCACCTCAAAAAGCATCACGATGTGTACCCTATGCTCGCCGAGCCCAGTTGAAATCACACTGCATCGCAAATGAGACCCAACTCTCGCACATCGTTAATGAAAGATCCAGACTGGAAACAAAAACGCCCAAGCCATACATAACGCATCTACATACCCACAAAGCAACCTCAACCCCAATCTCAAAAGAGAAAGAATAGACTTTATTCATCACATATCTCAAATCTTACTCGCAAACCCTTGAATCCCAGCATCCCCGTATCCCAGTAAGGAAAGATGTACTGTACCTGTACCATGACAACCCCGTGCATGAATACATGCATTCGTGCATATGCAGATACACACACACATGTCTATACAGCAATCCCCCATCTACAGCACAATTACCAATCCACGAAACAAACTTCTAAATCCCAAGATCCCATAAAATAATCATCAATCTATCAACAACATACATTATCACCACCACCCCGCCAAAAAAAAAAAAAAAAAAACACGCCAACTGAAACAACACATGTGGTAAAGAACGAGTTCGCTATTATTCATGGATATGAGGAGAGCACGAAAAACAGAAAACCCTTCGCTTTGCACAACCAAACCATGATGCAGGATTACATTTGCTTCTGTGCGAGATAAAACAGAAAATGAGAAATAGGATGGTTGCTTTCATAACATTTGTACACAAAATCGCCCTACGTGGAAAAGACCCCAAAGTCACCGGCGAACCAGGTGAAGGTGGTGATTGTGATGAGGACCATGCCGAACACGAACTTGAGACCTTGGCGTTCGAGTTCGGAGAGGGCACCGCTGCAGGTGGCGCAGACGAATCCTGCAGAGGGTATATCGGTTAGTTCTGAAGCAAAGAAAGGGGGGAGTTGGGAGAGACGGACCATTCAATGGCGTGTACGACTGCGGACTGTACATGGCGAAGGTGTAACTGGCGGCGCTGAGGTGGCCGCCCTTGGCCGTGTCGGAGATGGCCTTGCTGGCGTCCCAGACGATCAGCGTGTACGAGGCGGTCAGCAGCGGGACCGTCGCGTTGGCCTTGTACTCGCCCGTGTCCCAGACGACCTTGTTGGTCTCCTTGACGGTCATGTTCTGCGTGATCGTGTACTTGTGGCTGTTCAGGCTGCACGAGGCGATGACGTTGACCGCCGTCGGCGTCACGTCCAGCGAGGTGTAGTTCCAGGCGAACGTCACCGAATTGCCGATCTTGTAGTACGTCGTGGTCGTCGTCGCGGGCGTCAGTATCGAGATGCCACCGGCCCAGGCATTGGTGGTCGTCGAGTTGCTGGACGTGGTTTTCGTGCTGCCCTTCTTGGTCGATGAACCGGATCCCGTCTCGGTCCCGCTCTTCGTGTCGGTCCCGGTCGCGGTGCCAGTGGCCGTCCCAGTTGCGGTGCCCGTGGCCTTGCCGGTGGCTTTCGTCCCTGAAGCGGTCTCCTTGGCCGAGTCGGTGGCCGAGTCGGTAGCGGAATCGGTCTTGGCTGCACTCTTGCCGGTCGTGGCGGCTTGTCCGGTCGTGGCGCTGTCGGCTGCTGTGGTGTCTTTGGAAAAGTCAGTATGGAGGAAGTGTGAGCCAGCGTTTAGGGGCTGAGGCGGTACTGACCAGCTCGCCGCAGGAATTGACCGTGCGCCAAATCGTCCCCAGGGGAGGGGAACGCCGATGAGATCGTCCCCAGGAGGAGGAGGATGCACAAGGCGGGTAGGAGGTATAGGGAACGCATGATGGTGGTGCGGGCTGTGCGGACGATGGAGGTTGTAGAGAGTGGGTGAAAACCGAGGGGTCGAGTGATCCCCCTTGGCGAAATTCAGGGTCCGATCGACGTGGGCCCGTCGCTGTGATGAGGATTCGTCTCTCAGACCAGGAGGTGCAATGTGTCGAGCGATTGAGATTAAGCGGATGATGCAGTCGATGGCGATGGAAACGGTGCCCAGAGATTGACAAGACGATGGAACTGCAGCGGGTGGTCGGTCTTTTTAGGCCAGCGGGCCTGAAACATGCAGATCGGCTGATAGATTATCGGCAGGGTCCAGCGAGAGTCGGGGTGGGTAAACAAAGCGAGTGACGGGGTCTGGCGCTCAACAAAACTGCAAAGGACGAGAGCAGAGAAGCGACTGACACTTATCTGGGGACGATGCAGAGGAGGATAGAATAGAAGAGTAAAAAAAAAAAGGGCCCAAACAGACCACAGGCAGGCGCAGCAGAAGACGAGAGGCGAGAGTGAGAGAGAGCGAGCGAGCGAGCGAGAGAAGCGAGAGACTAGCAGAAGGAGAAGGGGAAGAGGGGACTAACCAGATTGGGCCAGTTGGGCCATTTGTGAGACACGCAGCTATTTTTGGTACTCACTGGCCTGAGGCAGCCAGGCATTATTCACTCATGGATGACATGATGCAACGCACATCTTGGACAAATGTTGTGCATACCCTTGCACCTTGATTCGCTCCTTGCACCCTGTATCCTGCACATCTACAAGCCACTATTGCCAATTATTGCTTCCTTTACTTGCCGACTCGCCGATAATAGCAGATAAATAAAAGAGGCACTCGATGGTATGTATAATTTGTACTCGGTATAAATTTCTCACTGTGTCCCACAATCATCGATAGCTAGAACTCAATAAAAAGCAGAACGCTATCGCACAAATCACACATAGATACATTGGCTTCCCATCATCATCCTTCGCAGGTCATTATTACGATTAATTAGCATTAACATCAGGGCGAAAAGTCTTAACCGTCGTCGTACTGATACAGATCTTGTAAGCGTCAAGCTGGCGGGGAGGGTGGCGAAAAGTTCTCCGGATCTTTATCTTTGCGTCGTATGATTCATCAACCACGAGGCGTCGTTGTGGTGGTGGTAAAAGCAAAATACCCCCCTCGTGCCTTGTCTAGGAGGTATATTCAACGGTGAGGTCGACCTTGTCGCAGGAGGAAGGGATCGTGGCCGGCAGGTACTTGTAGAGCCAGAAGAGCTGAGGAGCGTTGTGGTACCAGTCGCAGACTAAAGTAGATAACGAAAAGAATTGGTCAGTGACAAGGGTCCCTCTATGATTAACTTCGTGCAAATCGGGGTTCACTTACCCAACCAGCCGCCGAAACCGTTCTGCTCCGACCACTGAAGGCTCGTACCGTTGACTGAGAAACCTTCGTCACCGTAACCGACATTGATCTGGACGGGTTCCCATGCTACAACACGAGGTTAGCCCAATGCGTATTTTTTTTTCGGAGAGGCGAATACTGACAAGCATAGTTGGTGTTGGCACCCATCTTGAAACCCCAGGGGAAAGTGGTGCCCAAGTCGAACTGAGCGTTTGTACCGTTCAGGGTAACAGCTCTGGCTCTGGAAGTGTCGGAGGTGAGCACAGCATCATTGAAGCCAGCGCCGGTGTGATAGGCGTAGACGTAGAGGTTGTTGTGAGCGTCGTTGGCAGCGCCGGAGGTCTTGAGGTAGAAGCTCTTAGCGGTATCGCGAGCTTGGATGGGGCTGGCCGCAACAGCGGAGACGAGCAAGGCGAGAGAAGCGAGGAACTTCATGATTGCGAGAATTAGATGTAGAGATGAAGACGAGAGAATGAGAATCCTGTACAGAGGTAGATATTATGCTGTAGAAAGAAGAGAAGGCTGTGTGTGTGTGTGTGATGAAGAAGGGATGGCAATGGGAATGACGGGTGTTTAAGTATGGAGCGGCGAGCACTCCCACCAGATCCGGTGGGGAACAAGGCCGTGGGAGACGAATTTCCTAAGGAGGCAATGGAAGACGGAGATCAGAGGAACCAAAGCAAGAACAAAGTCAATGAACACATGAAAGGACGAAAGAGAGGAGCCAGGAACTAAAGTGGTGGTTGAATTGGTGGGTGCAGATGGACTTGGCACTGCTCACTGCCCCAGGAACCCTCCCCGGGTTTGAAGGAACACTGGTACGGAATACTGCAGGCTGAACGGGATTGATTGAATGATGGGAGGCAAAAGAGAACAAGAGCAAGAAGAGCAAGATGAGACTTGGCCGGCCCACTCACGGACTGTCCGCTACTCAGGACTCCGCTGGCTGCCTTCAAGGTTGGGCGCCGGCCACGACCGATTGGACCGATTGGCTTTGGAGTCGAAGTGGTGATTGGCCTGGGGAATAATCAGTCAGCGACGGTGGGCGGCGAAGTCGGAGACAGACGGTGATTGGCACAGAAAGGCGGGGGAGTAATGAGACATTCCATGTTCTGTCTGGCTGTCTATCTGTCTGGCCCACAACGAGGAAATCTCCCCATCATGCTGTGGGAAATTGGAGGCTGGAGGCAATCAACCACAACCACTACACATTCTGCCAGGTACCGTACTGCTTGCAGTACAATCCTCCGATTTCCTAGAACTCTACTCAACACTAAACAGCATACAAAATGAAAAATTCTGCCTTCTATTTTTATTCCATTCAACAAATACATACACTGCAACAAACCCCAAACTTGGAGCCAGTTGATCCTCATCTACTCTGTCGATCCCGATCTATGCTCACGTATCAAGTAAAATGACCATTGGATCTTCAGGACTGTATCATCACAATCCTACCCCATCAACCAACGTCTATCTGATGCGAAAACTCTATGCACCTGTCCCCTGAGCAGCATGCACCAAAAAAAAATAACCGTGTCAGCCAAAAAGTGGATTATTTTAATTATAGAAACAAGCACTTTGTTCCCTCCCCTCTGTCAGCATCAGCCATGAAGAAAAGACCCTAGACTATAATCTGACGTTTAGGCTGTGCTATCATGCAGGAATTGTGCACTTTGCTCGCCGATCGGATCTCCGGATTTCCCCCAAATTATCAAAGCGGACTACATCACTCCAACGTTTGTCGTTTGCTCTGTTGTATGTGTGTGTGGCCTTGACATTATGATCGTCCGTCTCCGTTGAACGATGCTGGTTGGTACGGGACGCCTGCACCTCGGGGGTTGCCTTACATCACACGATTCCATCTGATAATCTGAGCTATAGGGGGTAAATACTAGCTGAGGAACGTCCTGGCTTTTTTTTTTTTTTCACGAGGTCGTGGAATATCCCGCACGTTTGTCCCTTCCCGCATGGCAGGATCCGTGAGGGTTGGTGTTGAGAAAGGGAAGGTTGCATATACTTCCGGGCTATCTCCGAGACATGACTCGGAACAAGGCAGCAGACACATGAGCATAATACGGAGGATAGATCAGATGATTCAAACATCATAAACAACGAGACATCTCATGCATGAGAATGTAGTATCTCGTATATATCGTCGTCATGTCTCAGACTTATGAGGGGGGGGGCAAGTCGCATCCGCCCGCGGCAATGTACTTGTCTCACCCGATACGAGGTGGGTTGCATATCGCTTAAACAACATATACATCGACGCATACAGAAAGAAAAAAAAACATTCTACTATGCCGCCGGGTACAGGCGAATATCCACCCCATGTAAATGCGACAAAGTCAGATTGGACATGATCCGGGGCTCCTCCACCGCCGGTGCGGCATTTTCGATCCGGTCGAAATGCTGCAGCAGGCGGACCAGGGTATAGCTCGCTTCGGTCAGGGCATATTGCTCTACCATGCAGCAAGTTAGCAAAGCATTTTCCTAAAAGGGGAAGTGACGGGGACTTGGGTTATGGAATGTAACTCACGACCAAGACAGATCCGGGGTCCGCCGTTGAACGGCAGGAAGTCCCACCCGCGGATGGCGTTCTCCTCCCAGCGTTCCGGCCGGAAGCTTCGCGCATCAGACCCGTAGAGGTCTTCCCGCCGGTGCATCGCATATACGGAGTACGTGACCAGCTGGCCCTTGCGAATAAACACGGGGGCCTTGCCGTCCGGGCCGCCGCCCACCGGGAGTGAAGTGTCTTTGACAGCAACACGGAAGTTGAGTGGCACGGGGGGCAGCAGACGGAGGACTGGTCGAGTGTCAGTATAAAGCCTAAATTCAAGAAGAATATAAATCGCTTACCCTCGTTCAGGAAATACCGCAGATATGGGATATCCTTCAACCGCGCCTGCGTGATCTTCGCCCGCGGATGCACACGATCACCGAATTCTTCGACGATAGCCCGCCGCAGCCGGTCCCAGACGGCGGGATGACGCGCCAGGTAGAAGAACGCCGAGCTCAGCAGACTGGCCGTCGTGTCACGTCCTGCTAGCAGAATATTGAGCATGTTATCGCGCAGGACCCTCGGATCGTCCGTCTCCGCGGCCAGCGCCTCGGCGAAGATGTATCGATCCGCACTCTTATTCGGGTTGTTCTTTGAAGCCAGCGCCAGTCGGACGTAGTGGTCGACGACCTCATGCACGCGCTTGTTGGCGTCTTGGAACTCCTTCGGGTTGACCAGCCAGTACAGGCCCATGAACCGGTTGCGGGTGAAAAGGTACTCCTGCGACAGGTTGAAAGCCTCCGCGAAGCCCTGTGCATCCCCGACAGTTGTCTTCTCCAGAACCCCGGCGTGGCCGGAGGAGTGCATCGCGTTGACCGACTCGCCGAACAGAAAGTGCGTTGCGGAATCGATGGTCAGCAGGAAGAAGAGGCGCTGGATATCGAAATCGCTGCCATTCTTCGGGATCAGCTCGATCAGTCGGGAGACGTGACCGTCCATCAGATCTAGATCCGCCACCTGTCCGCATTTAGTCTCTGGGCCCTGAGATGCGTGAGATATATGAGCTGGCCTTACCTGATCCCGCGTGAACTGCGGCCGTAACAACGCCCGGGCATGCGACCAGCCCGCACCATCTAGTGTGAAGATGCCGTCCCCAAGCAGGGGGTAGAACTCACGGTGGCGGGTACCCAGACTGAAGTCATGGAATTGGGTGGCTAAAAGGGCTTTCAGATTCTCAGGCTCAACAGTGGACAGAATCGAGACCCCTCCTAGCCCGGTCAAGCTGAACGTGGGTCCATACTGATCGTAGAACCCCGCAATGTATTCGACTACGCGGCTGTCCTTCGCTGCTCGTGCGAGTTCGAAAAAACTCTTGAGACCGAGAGGATCCGATGGGATCTTTTGTGGAGGCTCGCAACCCAGCGATTTTGCGGTTCTGCGGATTCTGAATGTTTGTTGGATGGAGCGCAGGATTTGATATGTCAGGTACAGTGCCCCGCTGACCAGAGTGATTAGAGTCAGCATGATGCTGGAGATGCCTGGAAGTAAGGCAAAGGGCTGGCTGATTGTAGGGTTATAAATAAATGAGCTGTATTGAAGTGAGTTTGAGGTGATCCTGAAGAAAGTCTCTGCAAGTTCCAGATATACTTATTTATACCTGTACAATATGGGCATTTAGGCATAGGATTCCTCGGTGGAGACACATGTCACAAAAACGCCCCCGTGTGCCTCCTCGGGACACACTAGTACTCAAAGTTGGAGGCGCAAGAGGATAAAGAAAGGTTAAAGCGACCCAGACAGCAATGATTGGAAAGGAAAAGTGGGAAAAGCATCATGGCTGATTCGTGATTTCATGGCTCGAGGCTCGGAGGCCGGGGAAATTCGCAAGCATCTCCGAAAAGGGTTTAGAAGGTTAGAAGGACGGAAGCGGCAATGGTGGAGGAGTACCTCATGGAGTACTATCCATCCAGCTCCTTCTTTTCCTTATCTTCTGCCATCTGCTGGAAACTCAGAACATCTATTCTGATTGTGGCCTAATATGTACATTGAAATTGGTCGATCCATTCTCTCTCTCAACTCTTGGTCGACGTCCCCGCTCCTGTCCCGAAGCACGGCAGCCACTGCGACAGCGCCGTGCTGAATATCCCGCGTGACAGTTTCCCGGCTGTGGGGGACATCTGAAAGTCGAAGCAGTGCTCTGAGTCCTCCAAGATATATCCAAAGACCGTATTCTCATTGGTCGTCACCCCACACGACGGAATGTCGCTGGAGAATTGAACACCCTGGGGTGCTGTGTCCTCTGTCGACAGGACGGACAAGGTCCGCCACGGATCGAATTCCCCTCCACTGGTATATGTGTTCGAAGGTCGGATGGTCCACCCGCCAAACTCGCGGTTGGTCTGGTCCGTCAGAGGCTGGGCCGGTAAGAGCCCCTTCTTGATCGCGTCGGGGAACTGCCGGTTGCAGATATGCTGCTGATACTCGAGGGTCTGATAACTGGAGAGCAGCGCATGGGCACCAGCATTGTTGGCCTGGTAGAACCCCCATTCGGTGCAGTACTGCCACGTCCAGCTGATGGCCGAAGGGTCGCCGTACGGCTTGCTCAGATCGCATTCCAGCGGCAGGCTGGTGTTCTGGCCCCTGCAATTGGTGTCCATGTTCTGGTTGACCAAGGCCGTCAGCACGGGCCAAGCCGCCCAGCGCTCCGCCACATATTGCTTGCCGTAGATGGGGGCCAGCCCATCGGGACCGGCAGTTTGGTTGGTGTTCGGGTCGGTTTCCAGGTACTCGCAGAAAGCCCCCAGGCTTGCCGTGCCCCCGTCCATGCCATACGACTGGAAACTCCCGTACATAGCCACCAGCGCGGCCGTGAAGTCCCCGTTGGAGTTCTTCTCGGCTTCCGAGCCGAGGAACAGTTGCTTTATCGACCCTGCCGTTTGATTACTCGACAGCTGCTCATCGATGTATTCTAGCCCGGCACGAATGTCCTTGGTGCAGTTGGCCCACCCACTGGCCACCATTCCTCGGTAGACCTGGTCGAAGTAGTTCGTCATATTCACTTGGGCCTGTACCGGTGCTGAGGAGGACCAGGCAGCGAAAATGGTATCCGGATACTCCTGACGAGTCAAGGCCGCGCGGATGCCAGCGTATGAGCCACCGATCATGACCCAGGGGGTTCCTGCGGGAGTGAGATCGACATCCGGATGGGCCTTGCGACTGAAATTCCGTGCAAAGTACGGGAGATCTGCGAGCGCTTGCTTGGTTGTGAGGTATTGATAGTCCTCTGGCGGAGTGTCATAATTCACAGGGAAGGGGGTCGATTTGCCATAGTATCTGACGCTGTCAGTCCATGGAGCCGACCCAAACATCTCCGGTGCGGGTAGACGAACCTATGCTCCCAAATGATCCCCATGGCATTGAACTCCTCCAGAGTTGACCGGAAGAATGACAGCGACGAAGTGAGGTGCGCCTGCGCGACCGAGGCCGCCTCCGTCTCTCCGGCGTCGTAAACCAAGATCGGCTTGCCGGCTTGATAGAACTCGTCACTCACCCAGAATCGGTTTCTGTATGTACCTGCCGATGCGTTGTTGTGATCGATCGGGATCTACGGACGTTAGATCCGCACCACCGACACAAAACCTCTGCGACCCTTACCGAGACGTATTCGTCTTTTATCGTCACCATCGCCGAGTGTGACACTGCTGAATGAATGCTTGCGTACCCATGACGGTCAAGGTCCGGCTCTATTCCCAATTCCGCGAGGAGTTGCACGTCGCGACCGAAGGGGATCTTCTTCCCCCGCGCGACCACCGAGGATGGAAGTAACGCGACCGCAATCGCGGCAAGACATGATAGCTTCACATACATTTTCCTTGTGGTGGATGTCGATGAGCAGGCACAGTGCAAGAAAAGATGCTCATAGGCCGGAGCGCGAGTGCCATTTCAGCCATGGACGACGCCATCATGCGGTCCCTGTCGCTATATATACGCCTCACAGACATTTTTCCGAGCAGGACGGTTTCGGCTCTCTGTATGACAGGGTGGATATCGCAATAGAATGGCTACGAGCCGAGTCATGCTGTGTTGTTGACGGACGGCAGAACAAACAAACAGCGGCGGCTGCGTGGGTAACCAGGGATGCCGCTTGTTCTGTGTTCGGCTTCTCTGGCTGGAATGTTGGACAGGGGCTCGGCCCAACCCCTGGCCGGAATTGACGAAAACATCACCGGAGTGATTTGTGCCTGGTCTTGGGGTGGGGTTTGTTCCTTTTTGCAGTTCCGATGTTAATCCCCAGACTGCGATCTGGGGTCTGTGCCGTGTTCCGAGATCTCAGATGTCACTGAAAATGTGGACAGCAGGAAAACCACAATCGCATTGTCCAACCTGATGATTCTGATGGAGCTCTTTCGGCGTCATACAAACCTTATCGTCTACGTCGTACAAGCCGAATGTCTCGTGGATTGCCCTGAGGCAAGGTCACTTGTTCATCAATATCTTTCTAGTCGAAAAGCTCCAACTCAATGCTGAGATATAGTACGATGCGCACTCCGTGGACCTTAGATGAAGCCTTCAAGGCGCCAGACCGATCTTAAGCTGTCAAGTAGAAGCCGACTGGTCGAGTTTGTTGCTCCACTGAGGGCATTTTTCTCACACAAGCAATAAGGCCATAGGCCTCACTACTCCTGTCACATCCGTCTTGAAAACTTACCACCCTGCCAACATCCATTGGCGGGACACGTCTCTTCAGAGTGCCAGTGACAGAAGATTAGCGTCCGTCCGTCCATCCATCCACAGAACTTCCTACCGAACTTCCTTAGACCTGCCCGTAGTGAACCATGCAGCGGTAAGAAAGAAATCAGAGCCGCGACTCGACTCCCCGGCACAGCCAAGTTGGTAAGTATGGACCCTTGACGCCTACTCACGTTCTTTCCATCCTCGAGCCCGAAATCCCCCAGCTCTCCTGCAGCGCCGGCATGCCCCAACCGCTCATCCACCGAGACTGCAGAGCCTGTCGTCTCCTCCGGCCGAAACGCCAACATCGCGCGCAGCATCTCCATCAGCGCCGCCCTCTCGTCCTCCGTCACCTGTTCCAGACCCACCTCAGCCCGCGGCTTCTGGATACACTCCTCGAACCGCCTCTCCCAGGATCTCCGCCCACCACCGGGCCCAGCCCTCCCCGTCCTCACCAAATCCAGCTCGCCCTCCTCGCTGAACCACTCCCGTCTCCTCCCCCACCTCCCCCACCATTCCCCCGGCAACATCCCGAGCACCTCGACCTGCTTGGCAGCCGTGACGCGATCCGGACTCGGAAAAAACGTCTCAAACAGCGGCCGTTGCCCGAGAATCTCCCAAACACAACACACCAGACCCCAAACATCGACGGCGAAGGAAAGCGGCTCGTCGGAGAATCTCGCCGGGGCGGCTGAAGAAGCGGCAGGGTTTTGGAGGCGGTCCTCACCGTTTCGCACGGCGCAAACGATTCCCCAAAGTCGCTGAGCGTGATCGCTGCCTCGCCGAGAGGGAGGTCCTCACAGCGCACGCCGTACCACCCAGCCCAAAAAACCCGCGGGGGGACGCCACCCTCCGCCAAAGGGTGGCCATCGAGACGAACCACATCCTCCGACTCGGGGTCGCCGTATCTCTCGTACAGCTCTGAGGGGGAGATACTGTCAATGGAGCGGGGAAACTGAACAAGAATATTACCTAGATGCAGATCTTCAGGGGCTGGGGGAACGGAGAGTCAGCTCTAGCCCAATCCGCCCGCGGAGTCTGACGGAGGAAGGAGAAGGGACATCATATCATCACCATACTAACCGCCATGGACAAACCCCAAACCGTGGAGGAAGGCGACGCCCCGAATGAGCTGGGCGACCATCGACTGCGCGACCCGGGGCCGAAACACCCCGGACACCGAAGCCTCCTTAGCATCGAACAAGCTCATCCGCGCCGGCGGCGTCACCACACACCGATGCCGACCATTGCACCCGGCCACCCAGAACTCATCCAAGAGGGGCGGGAGAACTTCCTTCCCGGGACGAGACACCGCACTGCCCAGCGAACGTAACACCCTAACTTCATGGGAGTGGCTGCTGGCGTCCGCGGTGAGGACCTTCGCAGCGACGTATCGGGCTGCGTGGCAGTCCCGGGCCAGCCAGATGGTCGAGTAGCCCCCGTGCCCAAGCTTGCCGACCAGCTGGTATCGGCCATCCGCTAAGCTACCCCCGACCTGTAACGGAAGATAGCCGCCGGGGCGGTATGGGTGCAGGTCTTCGACGTCCTCAATCAACCGGTACTGGAACTTGCCAGGCGGCGTGCCGGAGGCTCGTGTATCTTGGCTCCTATCATCTGATCTCCGCGGGGTGCGAGTGGACATGGCCGATGAGGCCTCCCTGCCGTGAAACCCCAACCCAGTCAAGACAAACGTGCATACCTGGCTGCGAGGGCGCCGCCGGGCATTGATGGATGTGGAAGGACGTGTGAACATCTGGCGGAGCGGGCCCTCGGCCGAAGAACTGCTGTAGACAAAAAGACTAACGCGGATTTATATTCTGTAAGAGACGTTTTCCGAACCCTTGTCCTGGCGTTGCTGGTGACTGAGCTGTTAAGTTGTTGATGTTGGTGACTGATCGATAATGACTAATCTATGACCAATCAGCCCATCCCTTGTTCAATGGAAGATCTCAATTCAAACTCAGCTGTTAATAGGTAAATGACGCGATATTTTGGCAGCTCACCTCCCCAGCGCTAAGGTATTGGTTCTCCATAGAGTTCCTTTCGTTTCTCTCAGATCCGCACTCGACACGGCTGGATTCTACAGTACATGGAACAGAGAGTCGAAGGTGACACCGTATGTACTGCTGTTCTGCCCTCCATCGTCCCTTGGACACGCCTTAAGCACCTGACGGACCGACCCGTTGATCTATAAGGGAGTATTTTCGGTTACAATAGGAAAAATACCCTGCTCACAGAATACTATAACTACTTCTTCTACTGGGTACGAGTCTTCCTCTCTTAAGATAAGGGATTTTCCTCAAGAGAGTAGTAAGTACAGCTGTCCACATACTATTGCAGGAGACGGAACTTCTTTTTCTTAGACTATGCTATAATGAAATATGCAGGTACTAAGTGGCCAGGCTGGACCAGATTCATTTATTCAAGCAGAACAACACTTCAACAGAAAATTACAGTAGGTCATGAATTTCAGTTGATATTAGGTCTTTCCTCCACATACGACTAGAACTGTCCAGTACAGCTATCTACTCCCGGCTGCACCATACAGCCCTAGAAACAACCAGCTACTGGAACAACTCCACACAATCAAAGATCTACACTCGTTAGCAAATACCTCATCCAAAACACAAACAAAAACTTACAAAGTTCGGACTCAAATACGTATCCCCCGAACTGCCAGAGATCACGTTGATCGTAATCTACCCATCACATTAGCAACATTGACCAACCCCACACAAGCCAACTTACCGTATTTGTTCCCGCGACGATCGTCCCCGACGGGATGGACACATCATACACCTCGCCCAATCCCCGGTACGCACCGCGGGTCACGCCCCGAGAGTCCAGGTTTGTCGGCGCGGCTGGTGCGCTTCCTGTGTAGCTGTTGATCTGTTTGCAAGTCAGCGACTGAAAGAATTCTAAGAGAAGGGGCAGTACCGTCGCCTGGGGTCGTCCACCGGCAAACGACAAGGTCGTCCCGATCCGCAGGGTCGCTGCGCCGGTCTGCGCGGATGTGGCGGTGAATTTGATGGTGACTGGGTTGTTGACGCTCTTGAACACGGCCATTGGGAAGTCAGTCAGAGCGGAACTGCCAACTGTGTAGGTCAGTGGACCCCAGGAGGACATGCGTGAGTCGGAGGGGTGCATGCGGAGCTGGTTCGCTGCGTTGCGGAAGCCGGTCGGTCTGTGAGGTTAGTACTGGCATGATGTCTGGTAGCCAGGGGATAGGTACGTACTGTCCGTCCCATTCACCAATCTTGAAAATGGTAGTGCCGGTCTTCACGGACCCGGAAATGTTCTTCGTCGTGGTCGATCCGGCGGACACGGTGACCGAGCTCGTGGCGACCGCGTACTCGCCTTGGTAGTAGACCATGGTGTAGGTTCCGGGCTTCATGGCGGGCGAGGTGAAACTGCCGCTGGAGCTGGTGTAGGTCCAGTACTGTGCCGCATCATTGTACCTATCCTCATTAGTTGACGACCACACCGCAGGATAATGTGCGTACCAGTGAACCACCCAGTCCATGCTCGAGTCTGCTCCGGATGCCGTGCCGGTCACTTTGCCTCGGCCTGAGGCGGCAACATAGCCTTTGATGTCAAGGTCGGCGAAGAATGAGGTATCGATGCTGGTGCTGGGGGTACCGCTGCGACTGAAGTACATCGAGTAGGGGCCGTGGAGACCCATCCGGTAGGACTCGGTTTGAACGTGGCCGGAGTTCTAGACTATCAGAGATGATCACCTACATTGGAGGGTTACTCACCATGTACCAGTAGAGGGCGTTGTAGCTCCCTCCGTTGTTCGAGTTGATATCCCTGTGTTGTCAGTTTCCTGTCATCTGACCCGGCTGGAGACATACCGGTGGAAAGGACCTCCGGAGGAGCTTTCGTATTGATTCAAGATCATGCAAACGCGGTGGGCATCCCCGGCAATGCCTGCAGGGTCAGTAATATCCCAGGGCCGAGACGGTAGTACTTACAGTGTCGCTGATCGTCGATAAATCGCTCGCTCGAGTAGAACTTGCTGCGGGTTTCACTGCCGACCAAAAACTGTTTACGTCAGAGTCTTCCTCTGCAAAAGGTCAGGAAGTCACATACCACATCTGATCCCTCAATGGCAGTCCCGTCAGCGGTGGTGGAAACGTCGCCAAACGGCTCCTCGTTCGGTAGCACGTCCGAGTTCAGTCGAGCGATAAACCGCAGCTCGCCAATTGACGGCTCTGCCAGATATCAGCCACTAACCACGCCTCAACGAGACAATCAACTAACCGGCAGTGATATATGTCGCCATGTGAATGATCGGGTCCCCATTATGCACCACCATGTACTGCGTCAAGGTGTCCGTCACACAGGTCACCTTGATATAGTCCCCGGATTGCGTGGCGGTCACCGTCGCAGATCCCAGACCCGACCCAATGTGACTGCCCTGGCTGGAGTACTGCAGCTCCGTGCCATAGTGAATGATGGAGGTGATGTCGCAGCTGCTGCGGCTGACGGTGAACTTCAGCTGGTTTGGCGCGTTGGTGTCGATGACATAGGCGCTGGAGCTGGTGGTGATGCCAAAGGCCGCGTTGGCGACCTGGGCCGTGAAGGCCACGAACGACAGAAGCGACGCTTTAAGCATTGTGCGGGTGTGCGCTGCGGTTAGTAGTGCTGCGTGGTCGTGGTATAAATACTATAGGCTGCCTGGGGTCCCCCTACTGCTCTCACTCAGGACAGCGCTCGGTCCCATGCCAAAGTCTTGGAATGACATCTGTTCCACCAATCTCAGGCACGCCGGCTGTTTGAGTGGTCAGAACAGTACAAGACTCCGTGTGTCCGTGTCGGGAGTGGAGGCAAGTGCCGCGCCAAGATGTCTTCAGGATTTAGTGTCGCATGGTGGAAACGGGGTGGAACGGGCTGCGGAGAGGTGAAACGTCGGTAGTTAGAGATGTGCGCGAGATGCACGCTCACTAATGCCTTTACAACCTGCATTAGATGATATGTGAGATGTAATTCGAGCTGTCAGAGTCTGTACAAAAGACAGCCTACCTTCTATATTGGCATTTTGTGAATTATGAGTTGTGATAATGTTCAATGTGGATGGTGGTTGGTAGGCTCGAGCGTCTGCCGATCCCTCCGCTCGGTTAGATTGAAGGGCCGTTCAGTGGTGGACGGACATTTGTCTTGGCTGATGGACGGAGCTTGCTCCGACGGATATTCTGGGCAAACATGACTCGTCGGGGTGTGGACTCATGGGTGATACCGATGTATCTCCACTGCTGGTGTGACAGGGGTGACAGGCGTTGGTGGGTCGGTTCGTGCCTCGAGACGGTGCCTTCGATAGTTCTTCCCTGACCCGGTTGCTGGAATGGTGGGTGTTAGCTAGAGTGCGTCTGTGCTGATGGCTTGCAGAAGAAACCTATCTCGATACTGGCGACCTTGATTTATCGTCGTAGTGGTGGACCATGTTAAATTCGAGCGTTCAGCGACGGCGAACCGATGGCGTAAATGTAAGTATGTCTCCTTCTGTCGGCACGGCAGGTACGATGGAGATCCGTTGATTGCTTCTATAGGCAGGCCGGGTCATGTGAGCGCGGCGGCAGTAGAGCCCTTGGACTCATTCCTCATCTTCCACTACATACGAGGAGTGCCTGAAAGAGGACGGTTGGGTCGCTACTAAGCTCAAGCATAGCTCGCATTTCAATGCAATGCAATGTAAAGTTTGGCTACTGATTGATGACAAACTATGTAGAAGACAACCAAGGTCCGTCTCCCAATATGTCATCAGCAGACCTATATGTCTACCCGTGATTTCGAGTCATCTGAAATCGAATATCGATCTGCTAGCTGCTAGCTCGTACCATGATTTATACAACGGGATCAGTTGCAATCATAGCGGAGATTTCTAGACCAGAACGCCGAGCCTGGCTGGAGTAGACAAATACAAGCTTACTGCGTCCATGCATATCTTCCGCATCATCGCCCCGGTACACCATACAGTTGGCATCTCACCATGCTGATCAACCTACTATGCCAGTTCGAATAGTGTTGCTACCGCTCACCTAATGACGTCGACACAGGATCACACCGGAAACCATCCAGAGACTTACACAGTGACTCACACATCTATAGAACCCATGTCCATGATATATAGTCCCTAGTACGGATAACTGGAAGTTCTGTCTACACCTCATTCGAATCTTACTTCCAGGCACATAGCAACATCCCAAAATGGCACCGTAAGCCTTCATTCAAAGCCCTATTCCCTACGGCGCTGGTGGGCTAGAGGTTCTATTGGCAACAGGAACGATCACACCTCGAAGCTGAAAGCAATCGCCAACAAGGCTGTCAAGCATCCAGACCCTCCTGGAGCGCAAAAGAAAGAGCCTCCTCAAGGCAACACATCAGAAGTTACCCCCAGCAGAACCATCGGGCAACCCCAGACCAAGGACGCAGCCAAAGCAACAGAGACGCCGCAGTCCCAAGCACGCGTACGCCAACTGCGCACCGTACAACCTCTAAACTGATGGCAGGGCTAGCAGCACGCAGACACGGTAGTACCTCCCGCTTCCACCCCTGCACCTTCCGAAGCACACTGGCATGGTATGTGTAATTCCCTGTGGAACAGAGATAGACCATGTATTGAAGGTATCATAGCGCACCCCCGCGCGTTCAAGTGCGCGCTATGCCGGCAGTGGCATACGGCGCGGTGCCCTTGGTTGAGGAACTATTAGATGAGCTATTGGTTGAGTTGGTAGCAATGCTTGGGTGCATACATGGTTAAGATATGCTGAGCATAATTTCTGTAGCTACTTGCTGCTTTGCTCAGAAATGCCAGGAACTTCTTGAAGTCATGGCGGAGACCCCCATACCCCCTTGTAGGACATGACGCGATTCTCCTATCTATTCACTCCTTCTCGATAGACCCGCTCAGACTCCCTTACGCCATCGTAGAGCCGATACTCGAGGAAGGATCTCTACAGCCATAAACATGTCCGGCTCCCGCCACCCAAGAGCGCAAAGATGACCTTTGCCTGCTGCGGCTCGTCCAGCCACCGTCCAGGGGGGAATCTGTGATTTCAAGCCGTGATTAGAAGCCCTAGGGTGGAGAGACATGGTTCAGGAAGTCAGCTTACTGACCAGGGTCAGCCCATACACTAATTGACCGTCTCGAAGCAAAGAGTAGGACTGGGTGGTAACGATAGAGCCGCCGGGGCTGTGGTGCCCCCACACATTGAAACCAGCCCCGGGAACAATTCGAGGCAGTCCCAACGGCGCAGCACCGCACAATCGCCGTGCCTCGTTAATGACTGCATTGCTGTACGGCAGCTCTTCCAGCTGGGAGTCCGTGAGAATCCAGCCGCAAGGCCACCACCTTCTCCTCCAACCGCGACTCGATCTCGGGGTCTGCCCTCACCGCCCGCATGAGGAAGATCATCGTCACGGCCCCTGTTGTTCCAGAGCCCGCGACAATCAGCATGACGGACTCCAACAGCACTTCGCGGTCGGTCATTGTGTCGCCCTCCAAACCTGCAGAGATGTTCGCCCTGGGCAGCTCTTTTTGCGAGGCCCGCTGGACCACCCCCGCCCTTTTCTTCGCGATGTACTGGTCCGCACGAGTCAGAGGGTCAACCTAACCACAGGCGCATGCTCATAACGCACAGCAACAGGCCGGAAACCTCCAGCGGGAGCGCCCGAGCTTTGTTGACAAACTTTAACTTCTCGATATGCTTGCTTTTCAGGACGGAAGTGGATGTTCTCAGCTGACATGAAGAACGGGGGCCCGGAGTCACCGGGCCGTCGGAAGGTGGTTCGAGATTCTCTGACCGAAAGTGTGCCCTCCTACAGCAACAAGGCAATAGCAAAGAAACACATAGCCAGGCGGAACATGATCCAGTGACAAGGGTTACATCTCAAGTTGGCATTGGACGTGGCAGGAGGGCCGTGAATCGCCTTCTCATCGGTCTCCGGTTCAAGACGAAGCCTGGGTCAACGCACAGGCTGTAAATCATAGGTTCAATTCAATCTTCCCTCCACACTAGGATCGGCAAATGGACCCGGGTCAGTCCAGGTTCCCACCGGATGAACCCATTGTGCCCTGAGCAACCCCTCATGTGGCAGAGTACGCACTGATCTGCCTGGTAATCAGGGTTTCTCCCATTTGCTTTGAAGGTCGTACTTCTTTCTGAGACCCCCCCCCGCCCGCGGTTCCCAAAAGAGTGAAAGGGGCGGTCGGCCAGTTATGACCCCAGTGCCGAGACCCGTCTTATGCGATGTACATCCTGCACCAGGTTGTGCCAATTTGTGCCTCATGGTTGGACTCCGAATGTCCCTCGAGGCGTGAGTGGATTGGGGATCTATCATGTTTTAATGAATACCTTTACCCATCTGGGAATATACCAAGCCGAGGCAGCAGAGTCTATAACGCTCTGTACCTATTCCATGGATGGCAGTGGGGTTACTTGTGTTACGAACGCCTCTGGCAAGTACATATCATACAAGGGCTATCATACCGGATCAGAATCTCGCCTTTCTTAAGAGGATACAGATTGTGATTTGCGCTGCGGTGCATCTATAATGTATACATGATCGCGGCTCCAACAATCTGCTCATGGGGCCCGGGGGCATAAGTGTGTTGCCCCAACAGACAGGAAGCCTGGTTCGAAGATCTCTCCAAGGCTACTACGATGAAGAAAAGAGGCAGGCAGCAAAGCCGGTTTCCGGATTAGCCTAGCTGAGATGCACGTAAGCGGTAAGCCAGCATTAACATAAACCCTCAAGCCAGATCTTGTGCTCACCCAATCCAGGTCCTTTCGACAGCGGAGATCCACCTCTGCCCGCTCCTTCACCCCGGCCGGCGCCTGGATAGTTCCCCAGTGCCCTGAAGCCACTCAAGGCAGACACTTTTGCTCAGACGGAAGACCTGGGACTTCCGTGCTACCCGGCTCTACACTGAGCTCAAGGGATTGGAAACCTCATCCCGTTGAACACGAGGTCAATGACTTCGGACGAATTAAGCGTTGAGCAATACCTAGTCTCTAAATCTGCATCAGATTTGTATCCAACTCCTTCCCGCCATGTCTACAAGATGCGGCCTTCTGTGCTCTCGGCTGCATTTCTCATCCAATCAGCCCTTGCTGCGTAGTTCTCTCCTCACCACTTTCCCCAACGCGATGAGCACGCTGGGTATCACCGAGCTAGAACGTGACATCTTTGCCGTTGTTGAGGGCAACCTTCCCCCCCCCCCCCCCAGAGGGCTCCTTTGCCGTCTGGACGGGTAACCTCACCGGCAACGTCGTGATCTGGCGCCTCAACGCGACGACGGGCGAATAATCCGTGGCTCCATCCCCTGCCTCAATGGTCCCAGCCGCCGGGCAGCCCGTGAAGGTGGGGGTCAACAGCATACAAGCGGGAGGAAATTACGTCTACTCCACGAGTTCTAGCCCGGAGGTATTTGCGCGCTTCCCGGTGGACAACAACGCAGCTGCCACGGGGCCGGTCGAGATCATCGGCAGTGGGTTCTTCTTCGACGGTGTTGCGCCAAGTGCGAACGGCACGGCGGATCTTACCACCACTCCGCCGGACGAAGTCATTGATATCTCACCGGAGGGAGGGACGTGTTCGGCTACTCGCGGGCAACCAGTTCATGCTTGCGGTTGGCGGGTCGACGGCTGCGGCCATCGATCAGGAGCGTTCGGTTCTCTATGTGGCGACGAGTGGTGCGCTGGAGCCCGCAAAGGTCGCAGCCATTTCTTTGCAGATGTTTCCTATGACGCCGCGCTGTATCCAGTTGTTCTGGTTGTGGTTGTTTTAGAGACAGAAGTCAGCTGCTTAGGAGACCCAAGATGGTGAATGTATAACAAAGACACTATGTCTGCATGATTTTTGAACTCCAGCTTTGACCAGGCACACCGAGGAAGATGACCACCCTAGACATTGGCAGTGGTAGAGTCTCAGTCATGTGACCTACTGGCTCACCAAGGCGTAGACGTAGAGTTGAAAAGTTGCAAGTCGGCTAGAGCCCATCGAAAGTGGGAGCCATTGACAAGTTAAGGGAATCCAGCGATACCTCCTCGCCGCCCCAGGGGTCCTGGCCCCGCACGGTTCCGGAACGGAGCCACGGTGGGTCTCTTGTGGGTCTAGTACGGAAGACCTGGCTGAATCCACAGAGCAATAATGACACAAAAAAACAAACCGCGGCCAAGACAAGCCGGGGGGAAGCGGATCCGACTCCTCATGTAGCGCAAGAAAATAGATTCAACAGTGCAGCCACCGATATGGGGAGGGGGACAGACAGGCTATAAAATGCTTGAGACCATGGTCTGGAGATTCGATGAATGCCACCCATCCCCAGGACTGTTCGCCCATTATGAGCAACATCTACGGCATCCGCGCCCCGCACAGCAAGGTCGCCTTTGTGACCGGTGCCAACGGTATCAGCGGCAGTGCCATTGTTGAGCATCTGATCAAGCAATCGGCCAGCGAGTGGTGAGTCCTTTGGTCGATCTGAACCCAACATCTACATCTGCCCCCATCGATGGAATAGTGTCCACTCACCACTACCCCAGGTCCGCGATCATCATTACCTCGAGGAGCCCGATCAAGGCTGTATACACCGATCCAAGAGTGCGGTTCATCGCCATCGACTTCCTCGAGCCGGTCGAGGCCATCGCCGAGAAGATCCAGGGATTGTGTGCGGATGTGACCCATGCCTTTTTCACATCCTACATCCACAACAACGACTTTTCGCAATTGCACCAAAAGAATGGCCCTCTGTTCCGCCACTTCGTCGAAGCAGTGGACCTGGCCTGTCCCAAGTTGCAGCGCGTCGTGTTGCAAACCGGAGGCAAGGTAAGCACAAGCACGGGTTTGCCCTAATTCCCACTCCCCCCTACGGGACGAGACTCTGACCGTCGGCAGCACTACGGGTTTCAATTCAGGGATTTCACCACCCCCTGCCTGGAAGATATGCCTCGCTACGAGGGCCCCGAAAATATCTTCTACTACGAACAAGAAGACGACCTGTTTGCGGTCCAGAAGCGCCGAAACACCTGGAGTTACAACATCATTCGTCCCATGGCCATCATCGGCTACAGCTGCCAATGTACGCAGACCGGGCCCGCCCAGTAGTCTCAACGCTAACCATTCTGCAGATCTGGGAATCAACGAATCCCTGCCGCTGGCCCAGTACTTCTTGATCTGCCGGGAGCTCGGCGAGGCTCCGCGCTGGCCCGGTTCTTTGGAAAGCTATCACCGCGTCGAGAAGCAGTCGTCCGCCATGGGGATTGCCCACCTGACGGTCTGGGCAGCCACGGCCCCTGACTGCAAGGACGAGGCCTTCAACCACGACGATGGGGATGTGATCGTGTGGAAGTTTCTCTGGCATCTGCTGGCCAAGTACTTCCGGGTCTCGATGGACGACTTCGAGGCCCCGACGGCGGCGACCCGGCCGTTTGACCTCGGCGAGTGGGCGCAGGACAAGAAGGCGGTATGGGAGCGCATCGTCGCCAAGTATGGGGGCGACCCGGAGGCATTCCAGATAGATGCCTTTAGGCTGATGAACTGGTACATCACGCCCGCGGCGAGCTCGGCACCAGTCATGAGCACCGTCGTCAAGGCGCGGCAGTTTGGCTGGGCGCACAGCGATGACACCTACCAATCGTGGCTGAACACCATGCGCGCCTACGAAAATGCCGGTGTTTTGCCCACTCTGCCCTCACGTTCTTGAGTGGCGGCGTAGCGCGGAAGACCTGGCATTCACCGCGGCGGGGATACATAGGCAAGGGTACATAGGCAAAGGGCGTTAGAACGAGAGCAGATGATGCATGAATGAACAAGGCTTGTTTTTCCTAAGAAAAGGATCAGTCATAAGCGAACGAGAACGAGAGGTCAGCAAAGCGCGGTTTTCCCGCTGGATATGGATAAATGCCGGCTTTGCCACTGGATCTTCTTCATCTCAGCCAGCTGCGTATTCTAGCCATTCAAGATTACATGCCAGCATCATTCAACCAGAGCGGTTTCCAGTACAGGATCCACCCTTTCACGAGCATCGCGAGAATGCCTGTCCCAGTGAAGTTCAAAATGGGCCAGGCACCGAGAAAATGTCACGTGTACGTAAGGGATTGTGCTGGCGGGGACTGGATCAGACCGACGCCTTGGCTGGACAATCGCTTGGGCCTCGTATGTCATGGGCGCCGGTAACAGAAGCCACCCGACCCGCTACCGACCCGGTGATTTTGCTCCAGTGACTACCAGAGTGGATCGATACTCCGTAAGTCCCTGGTTCCACGACGACATCTGCATCGTTGACTAAGCGGCACTCGGAACCTGGAGGTCCGACAGTATGGAGACCAGCCTCGGAGGTCCCTCCAGGGCAGTCTGGTAGGGCTCTCCACCCGCCGGAATCTACAGCTTCCTCTGGGGGGCAAGCCACGAACCGCCGGAACACGGGCATAGCCGCATACGGCCTGCACATAGCCTGCACACGAAGACAGCCTGCAGTCTCCATCGGAGAAAATCATCGCGATGCGCGTTTTCCGTCTCCCTTCTCACCGGGCTCTTCTCCCTTGGCGCACGCAGCAGCCAAAGAGACTTGTCAAAACAGTGGCCAGCTCAGGGAACAAGCACGAGTCTAAGGTCTACGGCTTGCTGAGACTGTCTAGATACCATGACACAGAGCGGGTCTTTGATTCTCGAGACAGTGTTTCTCATTCAGAAAAGGAAGGAAAGATCCACATCCCATCAATTCATTAAAGCGAGAAGGCCACCGGGTCTACTCTGCTTGTTCGTCCTCCAATTTGCACATGAGCTCACATTGATAGCTCGGGTCGCCACCGGCGCGACAGCGTGGACATTCTCTCCCATGGGAAATGAACAGCAGATGCAGAGAATACTTCAGACCGTCGGGAATCCTCTGCTCCAGATGGGCGCGGGCTTGCTCCGCGGATGCCTGGGAGGGCCTCCAGCCCAGTTCTCCGGTCAGCCGGTAGATGTGAGTATCAACCACAAAACGCTGGCGCTGCAGCGTAACGCCAAGCACGCAGCTGGCGGTTTTGGGACCGACCCCATAATAAGAGAGGAGTTCCTGCATCGCCTCCGAGTCTGTTGCACGGAACAGATGATTCAGCGTATATTCCTGATGCTTGCTCCAGACCTGCTGCAGGATCTTCAAGATCATGCGCGATTTGCGCTCGTGTAGGCCGCCACAGGCCAGGGTCTCTCGAAGCCTGGACTCGCCGCCCTCGGCGATGGCGGAAAAGTTCCTCCAGGACCCGTAGACCTGATCCAAGCCATGCACCTGGCGGATTGCGTTCCGCTCGTTGGTTGCTTGGCACAAGACACCGTAGATGAGACCGTGGAGAACGTCCGGGAACTGGCTGGGGCGGCCATCAAGACCGTCGGCGGTCATTGCCTCGCTGGAGAGCGGATCGCGGCGGCCGTGCAGCTTGGTCAGGATGCGGTTGACGCGGTAACACTCTTCCGGCGAGGGCTCACGGAAATCGGGGTAGGGGGACTCGGAGGCATATCGGCGGAAGTGATTCCATTTCTTTTGTGCGCGTTGGGCGGCAGTGGGCTTTTGGTCCGCCGAGGCTGATGAGGTTCGGAGTATGGCCCGGGTCGGGGTCGTGGTCGTGGTCGTGGTCGTATGGCTCCGACCCGCTCGGTGAGCTTGTCGACGGAGAACCGGCGCCATGGCTAACATCCAGCAACATCCAGCTCCCTCCCGGAGATCATGAATCACAAAAGACGAAGGGAGCGAGCCGGGGAGTAGTCGGCCCTCTTGTAAGGTCCTTCCAAGGTTTCCAAGTCGTCTCGAAGCTGGCAACCCCACAACAAGTTCGCGGTTGCTCAGGGCAGCGGTGACATGGGCCAAGCAAGACCCTTGGATCGGATCCTCATCGTTTGGAATACACAAGGCGGTTCTCATTGGCGGGGTGAGGAATGGAATCAGAGTGGGACGATCGACCGATCTTTGGCGCATCGCCATCGCCCGGTTCTTCATCTCCGCCTGCTGCAACCAGTCTCACTGCACAGCCCGCTTCGGGTTATTATCCTGATTGACTAGGGTGTTTTCTACGCCCAGTGCAAGAGTATACCGCTTGGTCTGTCGCCTATAAGTCCGCTAGCCGTACAGGAATATGGTTACCCTGGAGAAGCCAACTTGAGAGGGGCCAGTCTTATTCAAACCCAGGCCAGGATAGACCCAAGCCTGTGAAGTGTCCGTTTTAGGAAGACAGGGGCGTTGATTTATGTCATATCGCACAATTGATGCATCCCCAAGTAGGTATGTTGTAATGCCGGAAACGATCCGGATGATGTGCGGATGGCACCGGGATTGAAGATTAGTATCGACGGTCGGCTTATGTCTTATTCTGCCTCCTTTTCCTGTCTCCGGGCTTCTGCAGCTGAATTCTCGTGCTTTCCGACTGAGGTTCACTGGCTATCTCTAAGCGACGCGATGTTGTTTGTGTCCAGGGTTTCGAGAATCAGCAGGTTATACAGGGAGCCCGATGGTGAGTGGCCAGAGCCTCGCAGTCTGCGACTACGAGCCTATATTAATCCTACGATGTGAATAGTCTTGGAATACAGGAAGCTAGATGCCTGCACGCTACCAAGCAATCCGACCAGGATATTGTGAAAGATCAGCTACTGAAGAAACAGTACAAGGTCACTGCAGAAGCATCCACGGCAAGTATTACGAAAGCATTCGAAACAATCCTCCCGATGGTCTGGACTATGGTCCTGCCAGCTATCAGAGCGCAGAGCAAGCTATGCTCCGATCCAAGATGTTACGTAACTTGAAACCGGGAGAGTGATGCAAGCGTGGAAAGGCTGTCAGGCGGCTGTGTCGAGGATGCGGAACAGAGAGGATCGCGGATTTCTTCTGGCAGTGCAGCGACGCCGCCTGCCTGCGCCGGGTTGAAGGGCTTTCTCGTGATCTGCGACCGCAGCTGCTTGCAGACGGCACTCAGCGGCGTGGACCGATGCGTTGATGGGCACGCCACCAAAAAAAAAA